GAATGGATATGGACCTATTCGATCTGATTTTGAATCTAGTGACAAACAAGATTATCAGTCCACTTGCGTTCGCAGGCGTCAAAACACAACACGAACAGCTCTGTCGCTTTGCTGAACGCTGCACACCTCTTCGCATTGCTTTCACTATGATAGGTTTGGGCGATTCCCATAGAACGCTTATTGAGGGAGCTTTCACGCAAGCGCTTCGCTTATTGCCAACGCATCGAATCGCTTCTACTATGTTGTCGGCCTTAGAACTCTGTTTCTTGTTGAATTCTCATCATAATTCTATTGAAATTCTTCTCAAAATTCATCTGTCATTTTACTCGCGATCCCCATAAAAATCTCCTCAGAATTACTTAGGAATTTTCCTTAAAGTTTTCTTTTCACAACTCCTTCTGAAATCTTCCAAAATTATCAAAGAATTCAATTTAGAACTTTTTAGAGCTTCTTTCTTCACAGAAATCTCTCCAACTTCATCTAACAATTTCTAAGCACTTAAAGTCAGAATAATTCTGAAATTCTGCTCAGAACTTCTCCTCCGAAAATTATGTGGGATTCCTCCTCAATATTTGTTTGAAATCAAAACTTTGACTACTTTTAAATTTTACTAAAAAATCCAGGGTTTGTCCGCAAGATTCTATAGATTGTTCTTTTATTTGTTATAACTTTTCAAATGCTTCCTAGTCTCAGAGCCTTGACAATTATGACTCAAGTATGATTTTTTTTTCAAATCTGTGATCTTGAAATAAAAAATCAAAATCGTTAATTATTTTTTCTCCAAATATTGCATCACGAAAATTTCGAAGAAAAGTTCTAGTTTCAGTCTACAAAAATTTCAAAGCCCCTCAATCTTGGGAATCTTCGTAAATCACTCAGTAATATTCTTCAAGTATTGGTCTATTGAATGTGGGTATTAAATTTCATGAACCATGTTTAGTTTCACGTTGAGCGAGTTCCAACGTCAGTAGGTTTTACATTTTTGTTTCGTATTTAACTTCGTACATTAGCAGCGCCGGTGGTGTAGTGGTAAGTGTGATTACCTCTCACTCCAGCAGGCCCGGGTTCAATCCCAGTCGGCGTCGCCGGGATGTTCTGAGGCATAACATATCTGATCATTTTTAGACTGGAAAATCAGGGGAGATTCTATTCATTCCATTCCATTCCAATTTCATTCTAATTCAGGGAAATCTTTCTTCAGAAAGTTATTACACTGAAACCTCCGTTTACAAAGTCTTTTTTTACACAGTATTCAATTTACGTCCCTCTTTTTACGATTTTGGGAATCTGGGAAAAACTGTGAAATACCCCACAATATGGGTATCTTTGGAATCGGCGTGACGTGTAGGAACTGGAAATCTATGCCTGACATCATTTTGAAATCCAAGATGGTGGCATCCGGTTACAGAAAACCTGGAAAATAATGTCAAATACACCACAATATGGGTATTTTTTAATCGGAGTGACGTGTAGGAACCGGAAATCCATGCCTGACGCCATTTTGAAATCCAAGATGGTGGTATTCGGTTCATGAGAAACTGGAAAATACTGTCAATACCCCTCAATATGGGTATTTTTGGAATCAGGGTGACGTGTACGAACTGGAAATCTATGTCTGGCGCCATTTTCAAACCACCTCCATCACCGATCGGAGAAAATTTAGGTGATCTTCCATTTCCATGGACCATTGAAGCTCACCACTACCAAGCGCTCGAGCACTACCACCGACAATATCTTATGCACAGACATGCGTTGGCTATACTACGAATCTAGCTGGCAGCACCTTCAACCTATACTTACACACAAGCAAATACAACGATACCCAAGTAACATTGCAAGTTTTAAAGTGGTTTTAAAGGATGTTACAAGTCTAAATCATGGTCTACAGAACCCTCATAAAACCAAAATTGTTACTTGGGTAGTCACATGATACGTGTTGTAAAAATCGAGAAGAATTTGATGCCAAAAACGGAAAGGCACTGTCATACAAGCGTTGATGGTCATATTGCGTACCAGGGTCCACATAGTTACCCTTGGGCATGTTCTAAGTAGTTCTTGAGAAGTGGCCAGAACACACACTTTAAAATTCAATAACAGTATGGTGGTCATATCGAGTAACTAGTTCCGTATTCCCTTCAGGGCGTCCAGGGACTAGTGACCAAAATACATAATGTCAACTTCAAATTGGTGTATTTCTGTTAAAAATGCATAAAAAACCTGAAATGCTGCTTTTGGAAGTTTAGTGTATATACAATGGTTGCTATGATGAGCTTTCACCGTTTGCTCTCCAGTTTTCAAAATGACGTCCAAGTAAGAGGAGCAGCGTGTCAAAATTGCTCGCGCAGCAAGAGAATCCGACGTTCTCACACGCCAAGTTGGCAAAATTGCTGGATGTGGCCATATCGACAGTGAAAAACGTTTTAAAAGTGTTCGGGGAGCGTCTGTCGACCGCCAGGAAGCCTGGAAGCGGCGGCAATCGTAATCCGGACGTTGCAGCGACGACGAAGAAGGTGGCGGTGAAATATAACGGAATCCTAACCTTTCTATCCGGGACGTCGCTGGCAAGCTCAATGTCTCCCATACTACTGTGCAGCGGGCCAAGAAACGAGCCGGGTTGTCGACGTTTGAGAAACACGTCGGCAAAGCTGCGGTCCCGAAAGCTGTATACGAATCTTCTCACGAAGTTCGACTGTGTCGTCATGGACGACGAAACTTATGTGAATGCGGATTTCAAGCGGCTTCCGGGATAGGAGTTTTATATCGCATCAGGAAAAAGGAAGGTGGCTGAAATTTTCAAAACTATTAAACTATCGAAGTTACCGAAAAAATATCTCGTCTGGCAGGCCATATGCACGTGTGGTCTAAAAAGCGGCATTTTCATTACTACGGCAACCATCAATCAAGATATACGTCCAGGAGTGCCTGGAAAATCGGCTGCTACCATTCCTAATGCAACATAATAGACCTGTGCTGTTCTGGCCGGACTTGGCGAGCTGCCACTATGGGAAAAAGGCAATCGAGTGGTACGATGCGAACAACGTGGTTGTGGTACCCAAAGACCACAACCCTCCCAACAGCCCAGAACTCCGCCCTATCGAACGGTATTGGGCCTTGGTCAAACAGAATCTCAAAAAAACTAATAAATCCATGGAAAACGAGCAGCAGTTTAAATCTAACTGGCGTTCGGCAGCGAATAAGGTCGATGAGACCACTGTGCAAAATTAAATGGAAGGGGTTAAGCGGAAGGCACGGCAGTTCGGATTTTGCAAACCAAAAGAATAAACGAACATTTTTTCCTTTAAATATATGAATTGAACTACCAAAAGAAAAATACGAAGATTTTTGTGATATGAATTTTGACTGAAAGAAACGATTTTTTGTCGATAAATTTTTGCGCGTTCCAGTCTTTATATACGAATTTAGGTAGTTTACATATGTTCTAAATCTGGTTATGACTTAAATTTTGTAATGAATGAAAAAAAAAACAATGACGTTTGGTGTCTTCGGCGCAGATTTGTACTAAAACAGTCCTTTAATTTGGTTGTTGTAAACATTAGGTTGTTCCTAAAATTAAATCATGTTCAAAAACTAGCTTTCTTATTATTGGAAATAAAGACATATATTCATCAGCAAAGTTGTAGCTGAATTGTTTTAAAACACCTTCGAATCAATTTGCAGTCTTCGGCGAAGTTGCTCTGCATAGTTTTTCCAATCTTAGTTCGAGGTTTGGTTAGGATTGAGCAATTTTTGACAAGTAAATTAAAAGTTTCGTATCATTTTCCATACTAAATTAAAAATTCTTCCGCAAATCCAGATCGTAACCAACTTTACTCAAATTTTGCATAGTTTTTGAGGATCTCATTGCACATCGTAAGAGCAGTGGGGAGCATGGGGTTGTAATGTTGGCCCACCCTGGTGGGTGTATGTCAATGCGTTACAAGATGTTATGCTATGGTCAGACTACAGGTGGGAAGATCGCTCGATTCTATTATGGATAACAACATCGGATAAATAATACCGCATTGTTTTTGAAAAATCTGGTTATCAATTACATCCCAGTATTATGGGCCAGCTTGTCACTACTATGGGTCAGTCAGTCTTGCGTGTTAATCAAATGGAGCAAAATGTCACGAAAAGGAGGGTGGGTGCCAAAAGTGGTATTTTTTGCATTATGTAATTTACTAATGGGCCCGAATGCCAACAAGCCTAAACCTTTGAAAACCCCTCGATTAGCGAGTAGGTTTAGGGACCATTCGCACTTTTGAAATGATACAAAGCATACCCGAATAGAGTAAAATATCTAAGTCATACTAAAATATGTTCTTGAATCCAAAGTAATATATGGATAAGCATGACATAAGAGGTAACATATCAAGTAATAACATCAGATATTTGTTCCAATACCAAATTAAGCAATTACGGTATCAAATCAATGACAAAAATCAGGACTGGGTTTTTTTAATGATATTCGGCATGCAATTTTTTAGGTATTATTTCTTAATATTTTACCTCTTATGTCATCCTAATCCGCATCAACTTTAGATACCAAATAGTAAAATTTCGTTCCGGGTTGCTGCCATTTCCAGCATTCTCCTTCCAGAATACACTTGGCAGTGCGAATTTCTTCACTTGCAGCCCCGCATCCATCGCTCGCTGTGTGCAGCAGACCGTATCGCGACCCCTTTTCGAATCTATACGACCATTCTTCGATTCACACGCACGCATGCGCTCCCAATGAAGGAAGCGGCATTTTCTTCGGTATTACGTCCCACAGACTCCTTTTACAGCTAGCAGTGACCGACCAGTCAGTTTCAGTCTCCGTGGGATAGTAATCATAATATTTCGGGGCATTTCTCTGGTGGGAAATCATATAGGGAAATTACCACCAGAAGTTTGCTTTCAGAGTACCCTGTTTGATGTAATTTATATCGAACGTAGTTTCAAATGTTTGCTATTAATTCCAAATATGTATTATATCATTCCAGAATCCGCTACTTCGTCATTGCAAAATAGGAGCGAAAATCGATTGAAGCGTTCCCTTGCAGTGGGTTCGCGAGGATACTTCTCCTGCATTGTCCATCCGAAGGTAGCAGCAGCAGCAGTGTATGTGTGTTTCGCTATAAGTTCAAATTACGGTGCATCAATCGACGCGCAAAAAAAAAAGGAAAATCATGTGTGAATTGCACCGTGAATAGTGCAAAGGGTGTTATTTGGAAATCCAGCGAAGGAGAGAAGAAAAGTTGAATGAATTGAAAGTTTCGTGGTTAATTTTTGTGCTCGCGGTTGCCGAAATTCATCAATTTGGTATGTACCTAGTTGATACAGAAAGGCAGAAGACGTGAGGCTTTTGGATTTGTGAGTATGTGTGAATAATTTGTTGTGTGTAAAGCTTCGAAGAAATCCAACTCCAATCCAATCCGATCGATCGATCGAAAGTGAAAATGGGAGCAATCGATGGCCCCAGCAGCAGCAGCAGTAGCAGAAGCGGTTGCATCGGTAGTGGCAATAGTAATCAACTGCAAAAGCCTGTGTGTGGTTTGAAAAGAATAATCATTAAAATGGCCAAAGCGCCCCAAGGTCGGTGCTCGCCGTGTCGCAACTAAGAGTCTAGTAGAAGCACAGCCCATAAAAAAGTGGTGTTAACATATTTTACTTTACTGACGAAAGAAGCCAAAATTCTAGAATCGAAATAAGTGCATAGTCGAAACGCACGCATAGTTTGTTGGGGGTTAGTGCAGAGAGAGGGGGGATTGACGCAATACACGAGTGCTCCGGCCTCGGTTCGGGCAAATTCGAGAACGGCGGCTGAAAAAAACTTCCACTACAGGAATGGAGTATGGGCAAGGAGAAACGACGACGGAAGGTACCACCGGCCAGCAGATGGCACGGATCGAGGATTACAGCAACGTGAGCACATCGATGCAAAATTTGACACAGGATGAACCGGATAATCTGAAGAAGAGGTAAGTCTCTGTTTTACATTCGTCTGTTTGAAGATTATTCTGGGTCAGGGACATAGTGACGGGGGTAAACATTTCCCCCGACAAGGGCGACAGGCCAAAGGGGTATTCAGAGAGTTTCTTCTTAGTAGATTTTCAAGACAATACATGCTATTGTCATTTAATTGTCAGAGGGGGGATAGGAGTTATAGTTTCAAAATAAGTTTTAGAAATCTTATAAATCTTGTGTTTCAGACAAAGTTTCAACATTTTTTCTAGTGTAATTCCAAGGTAGCTCTAATTCAGATATTCTTAGGAGTTATGAGAATTATTCTTACGATATTTTGTGGAAAATTCCTAATGAGTTTTAATGAGACTTCCAAGGAAACCCTGAGGATGATTCTGAAGAAACTCTTATACGAAATCAAAGAGAATCTGATTCTGAATATATAGTCAACATTCCATTTCTCGATGTTATGTATCTCGATATTCCTTCCTATCTCGAACATTTTGGCAGTTCCTTTTTTTCCGTGTTGGGTATATTCATCACTGCGACCATTACTTTGATCTATTAACAGTTTCTAAGATTCTTATACATAAATCCAGTCGACGAATCCAACTTAAACTCATGTGCGCCTGGTGACAGGAATAAGCACTACCCGACGGTGATCAGTTAGTGACAGTCCTTTGGAAATTTTATTGTGTATGAAAAATTGTTATATTACAGTGCTAGTTCGTGAAAACATGCTATTAAAATGAATGAATCTTGTTCAAAACCCAAACAAACTATTGTGATATGAGTCGATTTTAAAATAAAAATTACTAGTTTTCAAATAAAATTTAAAAATCATGCTAATACCCCGTTCACATTACAACCTATATCACGTAATATAGGCTGTCTTGCAATGCATATGTCATCGGTTTCATCGGCCATACCACATCGGTTCATGTTGATACGGAGACGTAAACAGTGCTGCAAAATATCAATATCAATACCTACAAAATGCTGAATTTCACTAGCCACCTGATGTCAGTATCAGTTCACACAGTTAGAATATCAATATCATTCGCCTCAATGTCAGTACGCAAATGACACTGACATCGTAAAGAGACCACTGATATTCAAAGTTCTGCCGCAAATGTTTCTTATATACACCAGCTAATCGAGTACCGATCTTTAAAAAACTCATAACTGATGAAACAATGCAACGGATATACAGAAAAGTTGATTTATTGAGATAAAAGTAAGATTTTCAACTTGTTCCAAGTGATATTCATATGGATAGTAATAACAAAGCCGAACCGCCTGATATTATGCTTACCAAGAGTATCCTTGTCGGAAGTGAAATTCAGTGCTAGGCCAATATCTTACGTCAATTTACATTGTTAACAGCACGCAGGACGTTACCAACCAAATTAAAGAAAAAAAAAGCCGCTTGGAAAATGTATTCCAATGAAGGCACCCGATACTGGTTGTTGGGTTAATCCGGTAGGATTGTATTCGGATACGATTTGCAGCCATCGATTGAATTTTGTTGGCTTTATAATGTTTGTTCTTCGATTTTTTTTTATTTCAATGCTATTTCAATAGTTTAGCACTTAAATTTCCAATTCTACTTTCTGATCAACGCTTTTTTTAAATATCGGCTTTGGTTGCCTGGATCCCAATGTTCCATCCGTGGTCAGTATCACTACTGCTAGTTCTTTTCGCTTGATTCCATCGAATTCTGGATCTGTTTTTCTTTGAGGATGCCAGAGAAGAAACGGTTTACGTTCGGTTATATTCCTGGTGAGCAGGCAAACTATCCAACGCCGTCTGCGACACAGGCACTTTTGGTACTGCCTTTGTTGTCCTGTTCCTCTGAACCTACCAAAAATCAGGCGTGATTTCCTCCTAATGTTTCGCAGCGGGTTCAGCTATAGGGAACATGATGCTCCTGCGGATGGAACAATATATTGTTTTGATTGCTTCAATATGTAAAATTGTTCTAACAACTCACCTCAAACAGGAACATGAATTGATTTAATTCAATCTCCGAATGTATGACCCTGTAGGATTGCATTCTCAGTTTGAATCCTGTATAAAACATTGTTAACATTATTTGTTGATGTTTTGCTGGGAGCAATATATTTATTTTTATTTTGAAGAAATCTTAATCACAGACAAACAGACGTAACTATTAATTCTGGATCATCGTTTGTGCATTTAACGATTGGTTTGAATGTTATCGTTTCCGTGAACTACTCGCCGCAGCGCTGGCACTGGATCACTTTGACGTTTCTATATATTCGGTGTTTCTTGCATGCAACATTGTTTGTGAATCAGCGAGCAAGCTTGTTTTCCGCGAGATGTAGTTACTGCAGTCCTATATTTGGCGGTACTATGAGTTACGTCTGCTTGTCTGTGTCTAAATAATTTTGCATTTAAAAATTAGGATTTTCTTACCATTCTACTGGCGCTACTTTTCTGTTCATATTTCCTATCTGTTATTGAATAAAGCAGTTACAATAACACGTACAAAATAGTTTTCTTATAACAAACTTGAAAATATATGCAATTTGGCAGATGATCTCAAGCTCATCATCGCTACGACTACAGCGCCGCGGTGGCCGGCATAAACTTGGATTTGTCAACAAAATTAAATGTTTAAATTATAGATGACTTTTAAATTTATTTACTTTTCCATATGTACCATTAGATTTGGTAAAGAATTATAAATTGTAGAAATATTGATAAAAATCTAACTTTACTTCTTGATTCGAAATTCGTCCTACGAGTTTTAATTCAGTCCTAACGCTTTGAAACGCCATTGAAATTTCTCCGTCCTACGGATGAAGGTAAAAATTAATTGGAAAAATAGATCCAATTCGAGTGCGTTTTATTTATTTGTCGTCAATCAGTGTAGACCCTTTAAAAATAGTTGCCTTAAGTACTATTTTACAATTTTACTATGTTTAAAAATATATATAGTAGGGGAAATGGCTCTAATGTTGGCCTATGGATCTACGATCCCATCGCTAAAAATCTGCTATTAATAAATTTTATCTAGATGAACGGGTCTTTTTGACGGTACTAATGAATATTTTTGGTCGCTATTGAACCAAGAAAAGGAAGTCTTTTTAAGTGAGTTTTTACTCATTGTTATGCACGGGGTCGCTCACTCCGCACACCAATCTTGGGTCAACTTTTTTCTCAGTGTGCTGCAGGTGTGCCAATTGTGCCGGTCATAGAGCAAGCTGTGATTATTTGTAAAATACGTATATTATGGTATATTTGGCATCCTGGTATTTCTGACAGCTTGAATGTTTTGGTTTGCAATTGCAAAAAAATCCACACATCATCATCATGTTTCTCACACTTAATTGACCACTTATTGTGAAACACATCCATTTCATGTGTGAATTTTACGGTGTGAACCATGCCTCATACTTCAATGTTCTACAATATTCTACTTTATCGACTTCTACTTTATCGACTCCAAAATTTAATCGACAAATATATAAACAAAGTTGTCAGAGGGCATACACATGCCTTTTATTAAAGGATCTGATTTGGGAATTGATCCTGCACTGTTGGGGTGTGTTGCTGCCGTTGTCTTCGTTCGATCTCACTGGGCCTCATATATGAGGATGGTTGATAAAGCTGAAGTCACAATGTATGTTTTCGATGTTTATCTTGCAGAACAAGCAATTCACATCGGATTGAAATGCAAAACACTTCAAATTCATCTGTTTTGAAAGGTACTGTGCACTTTTTTTAGTGTACGGTTGTAGATGATGCGAGAATTCCTAATATTCACCAGAACATTGAAGATCTGGTCTGAGTTCCTCTGGTATATACAATTAGAGGATGTTCCTGAAATATATAGTTAAACAGCACGTAATGATGTGAACAACTTCAATGACAGTTGTCCAGCAGTGCTTCCATTTTATTTAATAAATATTCCAATGCCTACGAGATTGAGCTTAAGGTGTGCTGAAGGTGTGCCGATGGATGTGCCCAAGCTGTACCGAATCTAATTTTGGCACATTGTGTTGGTGACTTATTTTCCGTTAATTTTCATTAAAAGTTCACTATTTTGCCATAAACAGTGCCGCAACAAAAAAAGTTTATGGGCGGATTGGTACAGGTTTGAACCTGTTTCATACGACCGGAAGGTGCATACTGGTCACAAATGCCTAGCCAAATTGATTTCCCACGCAAGTAGTGTCAATTTCGCGAATGAAATATACTACTTGACTGGAACCTGCATTCCAAACATCAAAGTGTTCTGTCAGCCCCTTATCCAGAAAAATACGCCTTTTATTGAAGATTGCTGTACAAGAGCATAGCAGGTGTTCAGAGTTTTCCTTTTCTGTGCTGCATATTCGACACATATCCTCTTGAAGTTTTCCTATTAACTTTAAGTGACATTTACATGGACAATGTCGTGTTATCACACCAGTATAGACCCTGAGATCTTTCTTTGATAATTCAAGAATTCTACTAGTCATTGAAATGTTCGGAATTATGACTGCCTAGCAATGGAAGTGTTGTTCCAGTTGGTTTCTCACTTCTCAAGATCTCCAGATCTTGAGAACAAGCAGAAACTGCACATAATGGTTCTGGTCCCATGAATTGTTGAGATGATCCTAGCCTGGGTAACGTGTCGGCTTTTTCATTCCCTTCAATTCCATAGTGGCCAGGAAGAAACTCACTTTGTTTCGACAGGACAATTTCTGAAGTGACATTGCACATTCCCGTACGAGTTTTGAATTGTATGTTGCTGATTTTAAAGCATGTCTATCAGACATAATGCATGTATTCGAATGTTTGTTCAATCTTGAACCGTCTGTATGAAAAAAAAAGTTGAACCTATACGGACGTTTGGACCTCCACTTTCCCAAACATTAAGATCAAATCCGGTTGCATTGTATAAACGATCGAAATGATTTTTTTCTCCATCCAGTTTTCATTTTTTAATACAAGAGAATCAATATCAAACATTTTTAGAATACTAAGGTGTCCGGTAAGATCACCTACA